TTTTTTTTTCTTTAAATCTAAAGTATACTTATTTCGTCACAGAAACTTACATGAGGAACAAATACGCATTTGCACCACTTTAATTATAGCACTATTTATTTTCCTAGGGACTAATAGGCATCTTGGCCTCAAATGATAGCTCTTCAGGATGTTTTGAGCAGTCTTACACCCTTGTTATTACAAAGCTGTCTTTATATTCGAAAACTATTCCTGTCCTTCACAGGACTGTGCTTTTGAAATGTCTTTTCTAATCAGATAACATTGTTTGAGTTTTCCTTCACTTGCCAGGTAAAGCTTGCTTTAGTTTTGCACGTCAAGGGGAGAGCAGGTGTCCTGCAGGCACAATGGTGTGCTAAAGCTGGGCATACACTGTTCAAATTTTGGCTTGTTCCTGATGAACGGGGAGAAATTTGCTTAACGGGTGGCCCTGTCAGCTTTCTTGCACTCAATATCATTTGACAAAGGAGCCAGGTGAAAAAAAATGTCTACCCAACAGTAGCTGCATATAATCAGATGTAGCCACTGTGTGGGTATTCTCACAGCTGCTGGTGCTGGCTGCCAGAACACAATGGCCGCAGTGGGAGATTTCACCCATCTACCATATATAGCATAGATGGAGGAATGTGTTCTCCCCTTTCTCGTGTTCTCCCCTTTCTCGTGTTCTCCCCTTTCTCGTGTTCTCCCCTTTCTCGTGTTCTCCCCTTTCTCGTGTTCTCCCCTTTCTCGTGTTCTCCCCTTTCTCGTGTTCTCCCCTTTCTCGTGTTCTCCCCTTTCTCGTGTTCTCCCCTTTCTCGTGTTCTCCCCTTTCTCGTGTTCTCCCCTTTCTCGTGTTCTCCCCTTTCTCGTGTTCTCCCCTTTCTCGTGTTCTCCCCTTTCTCGTGTTCTCCCCTTTCTCGTGTTCTCCCCTTTCTCGTGTTCTCCCCTTTCTCGTGTTCTCCCCTTTCTTTTTCTTTTTTTTTAATTTAGTAGGCTGAAAGAGAAAGAAGTCTAATGTTCTATGGTTGGCTTTACAGTCAGTCCACTGCTATTCCTAGATTGTAAGCTCTTATGAGCAGGGCCCTCTGTTTCCTCTTGTGCCAAATTGTATTGTAACTGTAATGTCTACTTTCATTTTGTAAAGCACTGCACAAACGCTATATAAATCCTGTATAATAGTAATAATAAGTTGTTGTTTTTTTTTAATTTTCAAAAATTATTGCTGTCAGATTTCTGAATTTATTTTCTTAGCTATATGTTAGCCATCATAAGATATGGTGTCATTCTTCCAGTTCATTTTTTTCTTTTATTATGAATAGAGATGAGTTTGGGCATCCTCTGAATGCACATTCTTTTTTTTTTTTTTTTTTTTTTTTTTTCATTGAGTTGTGCCCTGCAGCCCACCTGTTTTTTACGTGAGCTGCAGGGCAGGAATGACCAAGCCAGTACCTCATTAGAGTTTAATAATAATAAAAAAAAAAAGAGCATAAGGGTCTATTCACACTAGGAATCGCACAGGAACGCACTGCATGTTTCTGTGAGATTCACATGCAGTTCCGTGTGGCATCAGCCCATTTATTTTGAATTTGCTGAAATCGCACTGCACCAAAAGTAGTTAGCATTTGGGGTGTAGTTAACTGCATATCGCAAGGGCAGTGCATTTTCAATGCGGTGTGGTAAGTCTGCTTGAAATACAGGTTTCCCGTACCGAGTTCTAGAGTGAACGGGCCATAACATAGGAAATTGTGCTGAAAATTTTAGTGGGGCACTTTTCTGAATGATGAAAGAAATCCGTGAGTGGCTCAGCCTTTTAAGTTCCATCCCGGGGGCGGACTGACCATTTGAAAACTCGGGCACTGCCCGAGGGCCTGGGGTCAGTAGGGGGCCCCATGAGATGCCCTTGGTACTTTTTTTTTTTTTTTTTTTTTTTCTATAGGCTTTTTTGAGTTTGGGCAAGGACACAGGGGGCCCCATGATCCCCTATTGCCTGGGGGCCCCATGAGTTGTCAGTCCGCCCCTGTTCCACCCATAACTAAAATGTGAGTTGCAAGTGGATAAGCACAAGCAACATACAGATATTGGATGGCAGCCAGGCCTGCAGGCATGATCTAAGCATCAAAGATGTTTTTGCATGAAATATTTCATAATCATACATATTTGCTTCAGTTTAATATTCATGGTTGCTTAGTGAGTTCTTGATCTAAAACATGTATGCAGCTATTGAAGTCTTGATTTGCAGATTTATTCCAGGGCAATGACGCAAAGTAGTGAAGCCCATTAAAGGATAGCGGGAGGTTCCCTTTTAAAGAGTGTTCTGTATAGACGATGCTAAGTGAAGCTCACATGTCCAAAATATGGCTTAAATATGGTCTTTGAGGACGTTTTCCATTGACAATTCATGACTAGTTTAAAGAGCCTAATTTCTTTTTTGTTAGAAAGCTGTGAAAGGATTTCACTCAGGCTTGAGATATTTCTTCTCACTTCATGTTGCATGGGCTAGAAAGCAAAAGGAAATTTCCCCAATGGCATACGTAGCAAAATATGCTTTCCTGGCTGCAAAAATGATCTGGCTTTAGATATGAGGTGTGACAATTTAATTCCCGGAGTGCCTGTGGGCTAACACTGTGTTGGTGGGGTCACACAGCCATTCGCGCTCACCTGGGTCGCAGACCAGTTGACCAAGTCTTTACAGAGTAGTAGAAGAAATAACAACACTGTGTGTGCGTTTTGTGGTGTTGGTGGAAAATGAGTGACAGGAATCTGGAGCAGTGGATTAACATCAAAGTTTGCATAAAATTGGCAAAAGTGCGAGTGAAACTTTAGCTCTGTTACAGCAGACTTATGATGAACATTCCATGAAGAAATCAAGTGTCTTGGAATGGCATAGGAAGTTTAAAGCAATTCTAAAGGTATATTATTTTTTTTTTTTGTAAAATAACAAACATGTTATACTTACCTGCTGTGTGCAGTGCTCCTGGCTCTTTTCTGTCGGGCGCCCCCATAGCAAGCAGCTTGCGGTGGGGGCACCTGAGCAGGCTGTTCCTAAGCCGCTGCGCCATGTGTCCATTCACACATGGAGCAGTGGCCTGGCCCTGCCTCCTCTCTCTCCTCATTGGCTGACTGGCTGTGACTGACAGCAGCGGGAGCCAATGGCTATCACTTGCTGTCTCAGCCAATAAGGAGGTAGAAACCTGGGACAGCTGAGGCTGTTGTGGACATCAATGGATCGAGATGGGGCTCAGGTAAGTAATGAGGGGGCTGGGGGCACTGCTGCACACAGGTGTTTTTTTTTTTTTTTTTTTACCTTTTCATATATAGAAAAAAAAACCTTGAGCCTTTGCAACCACTTTAACCTCCCTGGCGGTATTCCCGAGTGTAGCTCGGGGTAAAGTTTCAGTACCAAAAGCGGTAACCCCGAGCTACACTCGGGCTTACCATGTGGCGTTGCACAGGGATTCCCTACAACGCTTACCCTGTCCTTCGCTCCCGCGATGCGTCCCCTGCAGCGTCCCCGGCCATCTCCTCCGGCCGATGCCGGCATCTGGGTTCCATGTTCCGGTCCCTGTGACGTCGGGACATACGGGCGCCGGAAGCGGCGGCAAATTTGAAAATTTAAAAAAATGACATTTTTTTTAAAAACTATTATTTCATAGCAAAACATTCCTGTATCAAAGCATTTCACATACATTTTGTCCCTACTGCTTTTGTCCTGTGCCCTGCCTGCATTTTGACTGTTCTTTCTACCTGGAAACTTAGAAAAGTCCACGGCGTCCAAAAAGCGTCCCTTTAGGTCAAAATCGGTTTTAGACCGGCTGGAGAACAGCGATAGTAAATCAGAACCACTTGCAGAATTGAGTGATAATGATTCGTGGGGAAATTCATCATCAGACACTGAAAATGATTTTGCGACTAAGCTCAGTGATGTGCGAACTTGGCGCTATATTTCAAATTTCAGCGTTTTTGGTTTGATTATATTATTGAATTAAATTTATTATTATTATATTATTTTTTATGAGTATTTATTAAGTAATTACTAAGAATTGCAGGCCTACAATATATAATGCCAAATTTCCATGCAAAAAAATAGTACCGCTTTTGGTACAAAATTCCTGACATAATCATACTGCCAGGGAGGTTAAAGAGGAAGTAAACTCTCACTGGACACTTGTATCTACAGGTAAGCGTATAATAAAGCTTACCTGTAGGTACAAGAAATATCTCCTAAACATTCACCGTTTAGGAGATGTTCAGTGTCCCTGCAGCTGATGACCTCACCGACACATGTGCTCTGAAGGGATGGCATACCTGTGCTGTTTTTTCAGAGCTCTGTGCTGTGGCCGAAAAGCCACACGCAGGTGGCCAGAACCCAGAAGAAAAAACCGGGTGACGATGGAAACCCTGTCAGCAGTGACAGCGCTCCGCTGGAGGTCTTCGTTCTAAGGTAAGTCTTTCATAATGTGCTAGTATGTGATGCATACTAGCACATTATGGCACTATTTTACACGAGACATTTTTGAAAAAAAATTTTTGGGCAGTTTACTACCGCTTCAAGGAGGAGCGCGAAGATGTCCACGATGACGTAAGAAGTGGCCATCCAAAAACTCAAAGGATGGATCTAAATGAGTACAGAGTGCGAATGAGAGAAAGTTCCACAAAGATGGTGCCTCGATTTTTGACAGATCAGAAATTTCATCCAATCTTTTGAAGAATACAGAGGTGTATGATGGGGTATTTACCGGGCTGTTTTGAGAATTAAATTATCACACCTTGTAAACCTATTGATAAGGTGCTGGGGGGTTAATGGTAAGGCCCGGAAAAGTTAGCAGTTGCAGTATATGTGTACTCCATTTTCTCCCATATGAACCTGTGACTTATGTTTGTGTGAGTTTTGTACACGTCATCCATCATTAAAGGTAAGGTTTTGTTGTTTGAACACTACATCTTCGTTTATCTGAACCTTTCTTTTGAACATTGCCTCTTTAGTTCAACTCCTTTTTAATAGAGCTTATTTTTTCTTTGTTTAGCTACTCAGATTCAGACCTTATTAAATCAGCTTGGAACCAGTAAAGATTCAAGTAAACTTCAGCAGAACCTGTAAGTTGAATGTGATTTTTTTTTTTTTTTTTTTTTTGCGCTTCTGCTTTTTACATTATAATTTCGATCCATCTTTGTTATTGCCTGATTATTCTGTTTCATACAAAATGAGCTGTAATGTATAAATAGCATTTGTCTTAATCATTACCTTTTAAAGGATATGTTCACCTTTTTAGACAAAAATAATAATTAAAATTTTTTTTAAAGGTCACAAAATGTGCATTTATTATTTTTGTCTACAGAAGCCTTGAAAGCATTGCACCAGCGATCAGTAGGTGGTGGTCCGCTGCTCTCAAAGGTGAACTACTCCTTTTTAAAGTAGAATTCCTGCTTTAATATCACATTAACTACTTCAGCTCCGGAAGGTTTTTACCCCCTTCTTGCCCATTTTTTGCTATTTAGCACTACGCTACTTTTAACTGGTAACTGAGCAGTCATGCAATGCTGTACCCAAGCAAAATTTATAATTTTTTTTTTCACACAAATAGCTTTCTTTTGGTGGTATTTGATCAACACTTGGGTATTTTTTATTTTATCAACAAAAGACCAAAAATTTTGAACAAAAACCCCCCAAAATAATATTTTTTACTTTGTGCTATAAAACGTATGAAATGGAAAAAAAATGTAATTTCTTCATTAAATTTAGGCCAAAATGCATTTTGCAACATGTCTTTGGTTAAAAAAAAAAACCCATTCGGTGTATATTGATTGGTTTGCATGAAAGTTTTTATAGCATCTACAAACTATGCTGTGTATATATTAATATTATGAAAATTTTTTTTTTTTTTTTTATACTACTATTGGCGGTGATCAGCAACTTTTATAGTGGGACTGTGCAGTGGGCAATTTGACTCTAATAGACACTGGGTGGCAACTGATTGACACTGTCATCGTCAGTGACACGAATACAGTGATCAGTGATCATATTAAACACTGTCACTGTACTATTGACACTGGCAGGGAAGGGTTTAACATCTTGGAGTAATCAAGGGGTTAGTGCGTGACTAACGTGTAATGTGTGTATTATGTGCTGCTTTTTACTAAATACCTTTGTTCCAGGAGAAGAAACCAGGAAAGTGTTCCCTCTGGACAGAACCCTGTGTTGTTTGTCAACACAGGGCTCTGGGTTGTGATTTTACACAGCCGATCAGCAGGTCCTGGCCATGAATCATTGGCTGGGACCTGCTGACAAACTCCCACTGTGTACAATCATGGGCACCTTGTTCGCAGAAAAGGCCAGCAACATTCAGGTATGTCGCTGTGCCCGTATGGGCCATCCATCCGTAGTAGATTGTGAGCAGGCAGTCCACAAGCGATTAAATAGATTTTGATTTTTTTTTTTTTGGCAAGCCAGCCCAAAGAAATTATATCCATTGTATAATGATGCGACTGTGCTGTAACGTACTGTAATAACATTAAATATTTACAGTAAGCAGTGTTGTGTTGTGGCAGTAGTATGGGAGACTTTATATCTGCTGCTGGGATAAATAATGAATGCTTCTCTGCCATTCAGCAGGAGCTCTGTATATTTATCAGTGAATACAAGGCTTCTTCTGGCTGCGGTGGAGAGGCGGGTGGACAACATCTTTAATTCCAGGAGTAGATGGGAAGTCCTGCTTACAGTTGTGCTGCCTACTGTATGTAGCTGATGCTACTACAGTATTACTGCGCACCAAGCGCTCACCCCATTATATAATGAAAATCATTTGTGTAGGCCAGCTTGTCCCAAAAAAACTATTTAAAGTGATAGCAAACCTGTAAAATTGTATTTTTAAGTCCAATTTTATTTTTGTAAATTTTATTCAGAGAGCAGATTCAACATTCCACAAATGTCTTGGCGAAGGAAACAAACACTTACTTGAAGGATCTTGCCTCGGTTCCTGCTCCACTGTCTCCGAATGAGCAGGTAAAAAGCTGCTCCCCTTTTTCTTTTTTTTTTTTTTTTCTTTTCTTTACAGGACAACTTTTGTAATTAATGCCTGTTCACTATTTCTCTAATTTACACAAAGTACAGAGATGTAAGAGGTTTCCTAAAGGTACAGTTTACTGCAGTTCTTGAGAATGTTGAGAGTTGGATTCTCCAAACATGGACTTGTCAGTACTGGAATTATAAAGGGGGCAAAAGTGGCAACTGCCCCAGGCCGTCTTGACAGAAGGGGACCCCCGCTATACAAAAATAATATAAAACATTATATATGTCTAAAATCTATAATAATAAAAAGTACTTTCTAATATGAAATATATCTTGGGAAGTAATTGCCTGGCATAATCTGTAAAAGTTTTTACTATGGACCGGTATATTGTATCGTTTTTAAAAACAAAATTTGTCTCAAGCGAACCACAGAGTGCATACACTCTTAAGGAAGGTAGCCTTTGACAGCATATTTGTTTGTGCACACGTAGCCTCAGAATGACATTGTGTCATGCATTTTCAAAATGGGTGACTGTCATTGAGAATGTAAACTGTGTAAGAGGGGCGCCCCAGGCCCACAGAGGTCTGAATCTGGTCCTGACTCACATGCCAGGAATACACTTCTATTTTTCAAGGGAAGATTCAAGAAAAATGTGTACATTTTTCAGGGTACTGTTTAAGCACCAATAACAATTCTAGATCTTCCCTATAAGTTAGAAACCTTCACATTTTGTATTCAGTTCAACTTTAAAGCAGAACTGAAGCCCCGCTGTAAGGACCTGCAAGCAGTGCATGCTTCTGCAAAAAATTACCCCTACGTGCCTGCTCACTTCCTCCTCCGGCACTGTAAACTGAGCTGCACATGCACAGTTCAGCTTACAGTGCCGGGCCAGTCTTCGAGTGCCAAGATGACAGGCTCCTGCACATGTGCAGGAGTGACGTCATCCCCGACTGGCCAGTGAAGCGGCACAAAGAATGGAACACAGAAGAAGATGCCAGAGCAGGACCATTGGGCAGGTAAGTATGGAGAATTTAGTTCCTCTTTTAAAAGAACCTTGTCCGAATATAAATATTGTAACTAGAAGAAGAAGCCAAGAACCACAACCATGAAAATCTTCCAGTAAAAATCTTTAAAGGAGAAGTACAGCCAAAGTTCTTTTGTCTGTACTTCTGTGGTTTGCAGGAGTGCAGTTCGCTCTGCGCTCATGCGACCTGTTTTCAGGTTGACGTCACTCAGCCTGTCCAGGCTGGGGAGAGATCCTGACTTCAAAGTCGGGATCCACCCCAGAGTCTGGATTGGCACCTGGTTCAGCCTCTCAGCGAGCTGCTGAGAGCCTGAGCCAGCTGCTCCCTCCACAGGGGGCAGAGCAGACAGCAGAGACTGACAGTAGCTGCTCTCTGCTCAGAGCGGCTGTGAGAACTCAGGAAGCATGTGAGTTCTCACACTTAGAGCTGGTGGGGAACAGATGCAGCATCGGAGTGAGTATAAATGGGGGGAAAATTTTTTTTTTTTCTTAAATATAGCAAATATGGTTCAGGAGCTCAAAGATGTCCCATTCGGCAACTCCAGGGGTTGTGGGAATAGCTGGTTGTTCTAGGTTACCATCTTCAACTAAGCTTCTGAATTAGCAAGTTCAAAACATTTTGTAGCCATGTTGTATGCTGACGGCACCTTTTGGCCCACCGTAAAGTGGATCTGTGAGTTGCTTTGCAAGTCTTCATAAATTAATTCCTGTCAAGTCACAGCATTATCCTTTTTCAGAAATGTTCCACCTGTTGCAAAAAAAAGCAATGCTTGAGCCCCAATCTGTGACCTATGAATGAATTTCAAAGCATCCTATGATTGGCTGAGATGGAAATTGTGACACCATTAACCTACCTCTCTACCTCAGTCAATCGGAGGAAGCTTTGTATTCGTTCATAGAATACAAAGCTTCCTCTGAATGGCTGAGCAGTGCTCAGCCCAACTCCATTTTTGTTCTGGGAGTGGGATAGGAAGTTCTTGTCCCGCTGCTGCAACACAGCACTGTTTACTGTGTGTAGCTGAGGCTATATCATGCACACAGTTGCTGCATCTGTTAGTGAAGAAAATAGTTTGTGTGGGCCAGCTTGGTCCAGACAAACTATTTTAAGTTAAATGATACTTGGAGTAGAGGGTTAGCCAGGATGATGCCTCATGAAAGCTAGTGCCTTCTTCCAGGAGAGAAAGGTACATGAAATCATTGTCAGGGAAAGAACTGTGATCTCTGTGAGAGGTAATAAATACCTGTAGTATCACAATGACACAACACTTAGCTTGCTGCTTTTTATTTTTTTAACAAATTTTATTTAGGTTTGCTGGTTTATAAAAACAAACACATAAAAGACAGAGTTTTGCTAAATCAGAGGGTAGATGTAGATGTATCCAGCATGGAGGACACTTAACGATTTCCTGTGCTGAGGGAGGGGGGGGCATAAAATGTCTGAAGGCATGGACATAACATAAAAATATTTGAGATAATTGGTCCACTTTAATGGAAGCTAGAGACAGCCCTTTTTTATTTTAAGTTTGGATATTTTTCTTTTAAAGTTCTTCACCTTCTGCATTTATCATATTATTTCCTCTTGCAGAAATGTGTGTTTATAACTATTGTTCTACAGTGATATCTCCCCTATTTTAATCTTGCAGCGTCAGCAGAAACTGCAGAAGGAACGTCTTATGAATGATTTCTCTGCTGCACTGAACCGTTTCCAAGCTGTCCAGAGACAAGTGTCTGAGAAGGAAAAGGAGACTGTTGCTCGTGCAAGAGCTGGATCACGTCTATTGGTATGTACAATGCTAGTCACGGATGGCTATATTACTTATATACTGTAGCCACAGTGAGATTATCAGCCAGCTTTAATAGAGCAGTATATAAAGTACAGTAATGCAAAGTGAGTGCCTTTTTAAAGTGGTTGTAAGCCCTTACATACAGTGGATAAAATAAGTATTGAACAAGTCGCCATTTTTCTCGGTAAATATATTTCTAAAAGTGCTATTGACATGAAATTGTCACCACATGTTGGTAACAACTTATGCAATCTATACATACTGAGAAACCAAAACACAGAAGATCAGAAATCCCCAGCAATGGATTTTTGCGTAATGAGCATGCATACAGGCCATGGTGGTTGAGTGCATTACTTATTTTCTTTGAAACAATTGTACCTGATAATTCCTGGTCTTTCTGAAGCGCTCCACAAGTGCTCCTTGGCTCTTGGACACACCTTCTGATAATTATTTTCACTCCTCTATTAGATGTCTTGTGAGAAACACATGGGCGTGGCAGGTTTATGGTGAGATGTTCTTTCCACTTCCAGATTATAGCCCCAACAGTGCTCACTGGAACATTCAGAAGTCTTAGAAATCCTTCTGTAACCAATGCCATCAGTATATTTTTACAACAATAAGGTTGTGAAGGTCTTGAGAGAGCTCTTTGCTTTTAACCATCATGAGATGTTTCTTGTGTGACACCTTGATAATGAGACCTTCTTTTTTTTTTTTTTTTACCCATCAGTTGAGACTGAACCAGCTGATATTAATTTGCACTGACAAGGGGCAGGATTGCTTTCAAATTACTGATAGATTTCAGCTGGTGTCTTGGCTTTCCATGCCTTTTTTTTGCACCTCCCTTTCTTCAAGTTTCCAATACTTTCCCTGTGTTGTTCCATTTTAATACACATATCTTAATTTCTGAACGTATTTGTTTTGGTTTCTTTGTATGTATGGATTGCATAGGTTGTTACTGACGTGGTAAAAATGGTGACATACTTATTATACCTGCTGTATACCAAGTGAAGTGACTGGTCTCAGGTGATACACCAGAAATAAAACCAATCCTCCTACATATGTTGTACCTGTTTATATCCTGTCTTCTCTTGTCTGCACCTATTTGAAATACTGAATTTACTGCTTCTCTGAGAGCTTAGCAAAAAGTGGTTGGAGAGTACACTCTACACTCTGCAGAGCTCAGTGAGAAGAGGTCTGATAGCTGATTGGAGGGAAGAGACACACCCCCTCCACACAGCTTACAGGAACAGAGCTGAGGCTGTCAATCTGCTGGAGGTCCCTCCCCTGTCACCATGTTTCTCTTGGAGTCTGGCAAGTTTGTCAGAAATGACATGCTGATAGCAGAGGAATGAAGCGGCAGACAGACAGTGACACTTGGTGCTCTGGATACAGACAAATACACACTATGGAGGGATATTCTTTATTCATATGTCATGTCTGAGGTTTACAACCACTTTAAAATAGATGCAGGTAGACCACTTATTTTTAAGCAGCGGATAGCACTGAAAAATGGTATATCACTCTTGATCTACAAATACAGAGAATTTAAGAAATCTTAACTTGGTATTATTAGCATGACCACCCTTCTAGAAAACTGAGAATACCACACTTTCTTCTCTTAGGAGACAAGCATTTGCTTATGGGATTTTTTTCTGAACGGTTTTATTGTAAATCATACCCTCAAGTAGCAATTCCTGCATAACTAGTTTTTAATGTTAGTGTTTTCAGACAGAGGTCTTTATGTAAGCAGAAGATGGATACATTTGTTCCGAAGCTGTTAAAATGTCAGGTTTCTGTGCTATAAAAAGAGACAAAGATAAATAATTTCAGAACTTTTCCACTTTTAATGTAACCTATAAACTGTACAACTCAGTTGAACAACAAACTGAAATCTTTTAGGTGGACGGAAGTAAAAATAAAAAACTAAAATAATATGGTTGCATAAGTGTGCACGCCCTTAAACTAATATTTTGTTGAAGCACCTTTTGATTTTATTCCAGCACTCAGTCTTTTTGAGTATGAGTATATCAGCATGGCACATCTTGACTTGGCAATATTTGTCCACTCTTCCTTGCAAAAACACTCCAAATCTGTCAGATTGCGAGGGTATCTCCTGTGCACAGCCCTCCTCAGATCACCCCACAGATTTTCGATCGGATTCAGGTCTGGGCTCTGGCTGGGCCATTCCAAAACTTTAATCTTCTGGTGAAGCCATTCCTTTGTTGATTTGGATGTATGCTTTGGGTCATTGTCATGCTGTAAGATGCAGTTCCTCTTCATGTACCATGACTGGTATTTGGAACTGTTCATAATTCCCTCTACCTTGACTAATGCCCCAGTTCCAGCTGAAGAAAAACAGCCCCAAAGCATGATGCTGCCACCACCATTCTTCACTGTGGGTATGGTGTTCCTTTGGTGATGTGCAGTGTTGTTTTTTGCGCCAAACATACCTTTTGGAATTATGGCCAAAAAGTTAAACCTTGGTTTCATCAGACCATAACACATTTTCTCACATGCTTTTGGGAGACTTCAGATGTTTGCTAAATTTAGCCGGGCTTGGATGTTTTTCTTTGTAAGAAAAGGCTTCGGTCTTGCCACTCTACCCCATAGCCCATTCATATGAAGAATACGGGAGATTGTCACGTGTACCACACAGCCAGTATTTGCAAGATATTCCTGCAGCTCCTGTAATGTTGCCGTAGGCCTCTTGGCAGCCTCTCAGACCAGGTGTGTTTTTTGTTTTTTTTAGTTTGTTTGTTTTTTTTTTATATCTTTTCATCAATTTTTGGAGGGCCGTCCAGTTCTTGGTAATGTCACTGTTGCGCCATATTTTCTCCACTTGACTGTCTTCACTGTGTTCCATGCTATATCGAATGCCGTGGAAATTCTTTTGTACCCTTCTCTTGACTGATACCTTTTAACAATAAGATCTCTCTGATCAGGGCTGACTTTTAAAAATGATTGGACCATGGTCAAACACATTCTTGGGCTCTGCAGAACATCACACCTGTCTCCTCTCTGCAGAACATCACACCTGTCTCCCCTCTTCCTGCCCTGCAGAGCATCACCCCTTCCTCCCGCCCCTTCCTCCCGCCCCTTCCTCCCTCCTCTTCCTCCCTCCTCTTCCTCCCACCCCTTCCTCCCTCCTCCCAGCCCTGCAGAGCACGTGATGAACAGAGCTCCGACTAATTTGTTCTGCAGGGCTGAGAGGAGGGAGGCAGGTGTGATACCTGCCTCCCTCCTCCCAGCCCTGCTAAAGGCCTGCACGTGATGAACAGAGCTCTGACCGATTTTGCTCTGCAGGGCTGGGAGGAGGGAGGCAGGTGTGATACCTGCCTTCCTCCTCCCAGCCCTGCATAGCAAATCACACCTGCCTCCCTCCTCCCAGCCCTGCAGACCATCACATGCGAAAAGATATTTTGCAAGGCTGGGAGAGGGCATACAAAGCACTGTCAGTAAACTAAGCCCCCCCCCCCCCCCCATACCATGGAGCTCTTCAGATCCACCGCCACATGGCTGGAAAAGCTCTGTCAGAGCTCTGTTCTTCAGCGGTGCTACCACCTTCTCCACCCGGAGGACAAGGTAGGAACTGCAGCAAACCAGGAGGAAAGGACAAGGCTTTAATCACAGGCACTTTAAATGATGGCAGGTGTGTACTGACTCCTATTTAACATGATTTTGAATGTGATTGCTTAATTCTGAACACAGCTACATCCCCAATTATAAGAGGGTGTGCACACTTATGCAACTACATTATTTTAGTTTTTTAAGTTTACTTCCCCCATAAAAGGTTTCAATTGAATTCTACAGTTTTTTTATAGGTCAAATTTAAGGTGGAAATAGTTCTGAAATGATTTATCTTTGCCTCATTTTTTTTTTTACGCCACAGAAACATGACATTTTAACAGGGGTGTGTATAGACTTTTTTTATATCCACTGTATATTGGACAGCATTTGTTCATCACTGATAATATTGCTTTACAGGATATGATTCAGCCAAGAGATTTATTTATTTAAAAAAATTACCAAGCTTTTTCATACTATCAAACTGCATGTACATTCGTTCTGCCTGAATGAGGGGAAAAAATTTAATGGCCTTAGGCTATTTTCTCTCCATGTCAAATAATACTGCATTATGGCCACTAGATGGAGCTGACGAAAATAGGAATAAAGTCACAGGATAACTAGCTCTGAATTTTTTCTCTTTCAACATGGAGGTATTATAACCCCACCTACTTTCTCATAATAATTATCTCCTTAATGTTCAATTCCCAAACAAATGTCACAAAAATGTGTAATTTTATATTAATCAAATTTTAGCAGCTTAAGCAAATTGCACAGAGAGCTGACACCCTTAACCACTTAGTGACTGAGGGTAAAACAAATGTTAATGCCTGAACACAATTTTGCAACTTTGACATGCGTTAGTTTTTTTTAAGAAAAAATTTATTTTTTTTTTTCGTTTGTTTTTTGGGTTTTTTTTTATTTCAGTTTAGCGGTATATTTGTTACGATTACCATAATTTACCACCAAAGAACAACCCAAAATAAATTCCCCTGCTCCTTACAATCCCAGCGATACTGACCCCCGACCTTTTGGACCCTACATACAGTGTACCTTCCTCTCCATTCAAGAAAGTAAACAGGGGCGGGTAGTGCAGCGACTGATCAGACTAATTAGAGGCTATTGCCATGATCAGGTGACCCGGAACCAGGAGTCCGGGGGGGGTCCTGATCATTTGTGTGAGACCTGGGGCTTCCAGTGAGAACCCAGTCTCTATGCTGGGAGCACACCCAGCACCTCCTAGATCCAGCCATGGGGAAGAGTAGGGAAACCAGCAGCCGTGGCTGTGCCCTAAGCAGCAGTGTGCCGTAGGTGGCTGCCTAGTTCGTGTAGTGGTAGCACCTGCCCTGCCTGTCACTTTCAATGACATGTAATAAATAGACTTTTATGTGTAAATGTTGGTGATCTGCTGTGTATTTGAAATGGCCAGGGTCCCCCAAGGTCTAAATCCAGCCCCACCTCAAATGGCTTCTTTTCCTCCTCTCCTCCTTTTTGACAGCTATTAAAACTCCCGGTTATCACCACCCTGAAGCTGATGTTATTTTTAAGGCATAATAATCTGCGTGGTCTAAACTTACCATGATTGTAAGTAGTTTTTACAAACTTGTTGATGGCAAAAATAGATTTCAAATATTGAACATTACACTAAGGGCACAAGGGTTTGCGTTGAATCTACGTCATATATTTTGTTTTTTTTTTGCAATTACTAAAAGGTGTTTGTATCTCAGGTTGCTATACACTTGCTAAAATTAAAATCCTTTTTCTTGTTTTAAATTAGGGAGATGAAAGGCAGAAGGAAGAGCAGCTTGTTTCGTTTGACAAGTAAGTAACTGCAGGAAAAACACACATAGTTTTATGATTCCTGTAATTGTGCGGTATATGAATAATTCTTTATAAATTGTGCTATGAACTCTGGGCCAGAAAAACAAACGCGTTCGAACCATGTTGAGTCACTTGCCATAAGTCTTGTAGAATCCTGGTTCTGTCTGTGATAAAACACTACTATTGATGTTGACGTTCTGACTTCTACAGCTGCTTTGTTTCTCCAAAAAAAATAACACAGTTATCCAGAATTCCTCAAACCTGATGACGTTTGTCCAGTCAGTCATGTATTGGTGTTTCTTTAGTGGTTTATCATCTCATGCAGACAAAAGTAAAACTTTGTGTAGCCCAATATTGGTTGTTATACTCCCAGTTGTATTGCCAGATTAAGCCCTGGTTCACACTGGTGCGACTTGTCATGCGATTTGACCATTCCAAATCGCATGACAAGGCGCACCCCATTTCCGGCAATGGAACTGTTCAGATCGCCATGGCTCAAGTCAAAGCAATTCGGAAAAAGATTCCTGCGCTACCTTTTTTTTTTTTTTTTTTTTAAAGACTACTGTTATATGAAGTTGCAAGCTGCAATGAAATCCACAGTGCAAATTGCACTGATATGTGGCTTTGAAATCGTACTGAAATAATGCGATTTCAAAGCCGCACCAATGTAAACTGGAACCGGAGCTAAATGTCTGTAAAGTGGAGAATTGCATTTATGGTGCAGACTACTTGGTGCCTCCCATTGCCAAAAGCCAGCTTTCACATACAAACATTGTGATGAGGTTGGCTCTACTCAGCTATAATTGTTACCATAATACAGTGAAGATCACTTAACACATTCTAATCTGATCTCCAATCTCTGTAAATCTACCAACAACTATGTAGCTCAAGGACTTGCTTTATTGGCTACAAATTGAATGGATCATTTGGGTAAGTTCTTATATTACATTAACTTCAGGAGAAAAAAATGATTTTGCAAAGTTAGAGGAGAGCGCTAAAGTCTGCCGGAGCAAGGAACATGCAGCCTTTTCTTCTACCCCCTAGAATTAATCTAGTATTTTTAAACCCAAAACTGAAAATGGAATAAATTGTAGCTGACCAATCATTAGATGTGGTGGCTGCATTTGTGGGTTTTTTTATTTATTTATTTTCCCTCTTTCTTTTCAGCTGGTGATCTGGCCAGTAATACCCCTCCTGAATTGAATGCCCCCAGTCTGGATGAGTGAGCACAGGGGGACACTTTTGGACAGCAGCATTGTCTGAGGGACGGGGAGCATTAGATGCGCTAGCAGATTTAAATACACTAACACATTTTTTCTTCATTTTGGTTAAAGGTTTTACATAAACAAAAGCTGGTCATTGTAAGCACCCCTGTCAGTGGTAAATAGTTTGACTCATCTTTGTAGCTGCTACATCTGCAGGAGAGTTTGTTCTTTTGAAAAAACAGACTTACTTGCAGGATCACCAAGTGAAAATAAAGAAAAGGGAGCCTAAAAAAAGAACCATCACATCAAATAATTGGTAAGCTGCAATATAATGTTTGCTTTTGGGGTTTTAATCACTTTAATGATCATTTAGGCAAAGGACATCACTGCATAGGTTATTTTTCCTCCCAGAGTTGGGCTTTAAACTGACAACCCCCATGGACTTCCCTACTGTTTTGAAAACTACTTGTTTTGTTTTTTTCCTTAGCAATGAGGACTGGAACCAGATGCAGGACCAAGAAGAAGATCTTGGAATTACAGAACAGGACCTGGAACTTATAAAAGAGAGGGAGAGTGCCATCAAGAAATTAGAGGTTGGTCACTGTTACAAAACTTTTGTGTGGCTTCCTTGTGCTGTAAGTCAAATTACTGTATGCAGAAAAAATGTTAGTCAAATTAAAGAAACTTCTTGAACTGCTGGGAATGCGTCCCTTGTAGTTTGTTTAGGATTAGTAAATTACGGTAAAAAATTGCCAGGAGGAAACAGCCTTTTGTTATTGTGTTCGCGCATCATGGTTGAAATTTAATTGTATTCCCAACATTCACTTAAAGTGATATTTAAAGGCTTTTTGTTAATTTAAAAAAAAAAAAAAGATATACTTACCTGCTCTGTTTAATGGTTTTGCACAGAACAACCCAATCTTCCTCCTCTTGGGTCCCCCAACGGCGCTCCTGGTCATCCCTCCTGCCTAGTTCCCCCATAGCAAGCTGCTTGCTATGGAGGCACCCAAGCAGGTTTGCTCCAGAACAGCTGCTGTGTGTCCATTCACATGGAGCGTGGGTCGGCCTTGCCCCCGCTCTCCTCATTGGCTGTGTTTGATGGGAGCCAATAGCTACCGCTGCTGTCTTGGCCAATGAGGATTGAGAGACCCGGGAGAGCAAGGGCTGGAACATCGCTGGATCAAGAAGGGTCTTGGGTAAGTTTTAGGGGGGCTGGGGTTCTGCTGCACACGGAAGGTTTTTTTACCTTTATGCAAAGAAATACACAAGCCTTTACAACCACTTTAAATTCTCCCTTTTGATACACAGTACTTATGTTCATAAAAAACATGCAAGACTGAATCTGGTTATACAGACAGCAAAGCCTTTGTCCGTTTGATGGTCTCCATTGATTTTCTTTATTGAACCGCTTCTGCCCGCAATGTATTGCAGACAGGTGGCAGCTACAGGCAAAGCTAGGTACCTGTATGTTGCTCTGGCTGTACTAACACGGGGGCGCTGCGTGTCTGATCACCCCCCCCCCCCACAAACACACACAGTAGTGCAATGTTACTATGGTAAAAGTTTACTATTCTGATAAAAGTATTAAAAAAAAGAAATAAAATAAAAAATTCCGTATTGAGAATTAAAAAAAAAAAAAAAAAACCCTTTAAAACATTTTTATCACTTACCTGCATTTTGTATGTGAGCAGTGGCTCTGGGCAAAGCAACGTAATCTTGTGTCACTTTCTATTTTGGGGTGTGAACATGCCTTCGCCCCCCCTCGTCGGTCCAGGGAGAGAACACGGCACTGAGTAAAAGCACTACATTTTACACGCAAACGTTAGATTGTCACGTTTAAGCCTTTGATCTCCTCTATTAACCCTTTGATCACCCCATCACCTAGCCAGTGCCATTAGTACAGTGTCAACATATAGAATTTTTCACTGATTAATGCCACTAGCGACATCAGATAGCGTTGGGTCAGTTAGCGCCAGGGTCAGCTAACATTGCCCGCACACTATCACACTCATGCTGTAGGTCGCTGGTCACTGCCATTACTAGTATAGTGTTTGTACAGATCAATGTAATGATCATGAACAGAACTATACTAGTGCCTCCTTAGTAATCGTTGTCCCCAAAAACGCAGTGTTTAGCAGGATCGGCTTCGTTTGCTGCCAGCAGTAACGTTTAGCTCTTCCTCTGTTTTTCACGGAAGATTTGTACCAATTGATTGTGAGCCAAAGCAATTTTATATGCACAACGATACATCGCCGCCCACCCAAACTCCACTATTGCCAGACAATTTCGCACGGAAACCTATCACGGTTTCTGAATTTCAAACTTTTTTGGGGCCTAACCCTCAACATGGGCATTACAAAAAAGAATTGTGGTCATATTGGTCCACAGACCTGATTCATCAAATGCCCACGTTATCGTTTTCTTCAGCTGACGGTCGACTTTCATGTAAAAGCAAACCTAGTGGCAAATTAACTGCTGGATCGTTTTTACAAGCAGTGGGAAGGGACATCTCTCCAAAAATTAAAAAACAAAAAATCTCCCCTGCTCCTCCCCCCTTCCCATGCTCGTGCGCAAAGGCAAATGCAAGCGTTGGTCCCGTATCAATATGTAAACAGATGCATGCGAGGTGTGATAGAGGGTAGGCAGGACAGAACACACAGAGCAGATGGCAAAAGCACAAAGCTTTATTGAGACAACAAAATGACAGTCACTCAATGGGAAAATGGCTGGGAGGGTGATCTCGCCAGTAGGGGGACAGCAAAGAGGGGCTAAAACACTTGTAGTCCAGTATCAAGAGCAAAGAAAAAGTCTCTGTAGCAGATTGTAATCCAACAGGGGGTTTAGGGGATCATCACAGGGTCAGTTCAGGTAAAACAGGGGAAAGCGTATGCCCACAGATCCGACAGGGTGTCCGGTCCCCCAGGGATAAGAAAGTAAGACACAGGTACCTGTTGGAGGTCCGGGACAGGTGAGGGGTCTCTCCCTTTGGGCTGGGGCTCTCAGGCAGGCTGGCTTGTGCAATCTCCCCCCTATGCTGGGGTCTCAGGCAAGGCTTGCAGGCAATCTCCCCCCTATGCTGGGGTCTCAGGCAAGGCTTGCAGGCATTCTCCCCCCTATGCTGGGGTCTCAGGCAAGGCTTGCAGGCAATCTCCCCATAGGCTTGGGGGTCTCAGGCAGCTGGCAGGTAATCTCCCCTCAGCTTGGGTCTCAGGCAGGTGGCAGGCGATCTCCCCTCATCTTGGGTCTCAGTTAGGTGGCAGGCAATCTCCCCCTAGGCTTGGGGGTCTCAGGCAGGTAATCTCCCCTTAGCTTGGGGCCTCAGGCAGGTGTGGGCGATCTCCCCCTAGACTTGGGTGTCTCGGGCAGAGTCTGGTCATGAGGGTTCCGCCGCAGCTTGACTCCCTCTGTGACTGCACAGCAGAATGGATGATCGGAGAGTCCGGCATCAAACGGGCTATATGTTGTTTTTGTACATTACAATTCTAAAAAGTGTATTTTTTCCCAAAAGATTTGCACTTGAAAAATCACTGCGCAAATACTGTGTGACATAAAGAAAATTCAACACCCACCACTTTATTCTCTAGGGCCACTGCTTTAAAAAAAAAAATATATATTATATTTATTTGGGGGTTCATAGTAATTTTCTAGCAAAAAAAACCCCCAGTTTTTTCATGTGAACAAAGCGTGTCAGAAAAGGCTTTGTCTTCAAGAGTGGGTGATGTGTGGTATAAGCTTCCAATGTTGGCCCTGAAATTCCAGGATAGTAGAAGCACCCCACCCCCAAATGACCCCTTTTCGGAAAGTAGACCATCCAAGATATCTGCTAAGGAGCATGGTGACTATTTTGCAGATCTCATTTGTTGCCACATGGTTTTGGATAACGAAGAAAAGAAAAAATGCAATTTTTTTTTTTTTTTGCAAAACCCTGTGACAAAAATGATATCTGTAAAATACTCACCATTCCTCTTATCAAATTCCTTTGGGTGCCTACTTTCCAAAAAGGGGGCATTTGGGGGGATGTTGATACAGCCTAAGAGCAGACCTCATAAAAGTGCTAGCTCCTTTGTTTCATGAATGAAGCCTCCCATGTTTAGCCATTTGATCCTGGCTGCTCTTTGTTGGCAAGAACTCAACCTTCACAACTTCAGGGCCAAATGCCGCCCTTCACTGTCTGAGGGTCTTTTTGTCCACTGGGGCTTTGTAACTAATCACAGGAGCATGTGCTAGTGTTAGGCAAGAAAAAAAACCCCAACGGTAATAGTTAACTTTTTTTTAAAAATGTTAAGTTGTTGACTAGTTCACTGTAAAAGTGTGGAACTGAAGTTGAAAAATTAAAAAAATTGCAAATATGCAGGCTCTTGTATTCATATGATCTAAAAATAAAAAAAAAACAAGTAAATCTACACTTGGATGAATGTAAGCCTTTATATATAGTTCTTGTATGTGAAACAAAAGCTCAAATAATGAAAAAAGAAACATTTGCTGACGTTTCTCTTTGCTTTCTGTGACACAGGCGGACATTCTTGATGTCAATCAGATTTTTAAAGACCTGGCAGTAATGATTCATGATCAAGGAGAGATGATTGGTAAGCATTTCACTATTGTAATTTTGTATGTGTAAAGTACTCGGCTGAAAATGTGGTTTTGTCTCTGGGACCTGATATATAGACAGACAAAATAATGGGTTTTAAGTTCTTCTACCCTCCCCTCCCCCCAGATGTTTGTGTTACTACTGTCACCAAGAAAAGAAGTGAGGGGGAAATCCAGCATTTTAGAGTTGTTCCCACAACATAAGAAAAGTGGTGGAATCTTCTAATGGGGAAACCTGTATATTTATCACACTTGTTTATCGCACCAGTAATTAGTGCTTTACATATATTGTGTGTTCACATCAGTTCCTGTCCCTAAGGAGTTTACTATTCAAGGTCCCTACCTCACATGCATACATATGCTTGCTAAGGCCAATTTAGAGAGGAGCCAACTAACCTACCAGCATGCCATTGCAGTGTGGGAGGAAACCCTAGTACAAGCAAGCACAGGCAGAACATTTCAGGTTCATGAAAGTAGTGTCAGTGTTAGGATTGAAACCAGTGACCTTCGTGCTGCAAGACAGAACTGTATACCGTGCTTCCCCATCTAAAAGGGTAGTTTCCTTCACTTTTAGCAGGTTTCTTCTAACTGTCTCAGGCAGAAAGGCAAGGATAACTTTCCCAGTGACATACAGAAAGCACAAAAAAGGAAAGAATTGCCAGGGTTTAATTGTTCCATACTCCATCTAAAACTAGAAGAAAACACTTTGGCTTAAAGAGGAACTACAGTTATTAAAAAATAAATAAATAAAAATACTGTAGCTGATGACATTTAATGAGCAGACACTTACCGGTGCAGTAGTCCAGCACCCGGGCCGATTCTTCGCCAGTGCATTTAATGAGCAGACGCTTACCGGTGCAGTAGTCCAGTGCCCGGGCCGATTCTTCGATCCCCAGCTCTACCATCTTGCTTGTTGGAAACCGGCTATGGCTTCCTGCTGGCTGCCCACTGCACATGCTGGAGACCTGCTGAGCTTTTGGATTTGTCCTGCAGACTTCCGGGACGTGTGATGTGTTTCTGGAGGTTGCAGGCAGGTAGAGGGGGCCAAACTTCCACTCTTCTCATCTAAGCAAGAAGAGCAGAAGTGGCAGCGGCGACCAGAAAAAAACAATTAAAATGATGAGAGAGGAAGGTAGGATGATAAACGGAACTTCGTGTTTTAGGTTAAGTTCTGCTTTACGTACACAATACTTTACTGGCATCATCCACCCTTTGAACTGCTAAGTTTATATTTTCACTGAATTATGGGTCACGTTTTTACTATTCCATTAAGAAGTAGGAAATTGTTTACATGCTCAGAACTTTACTGCATATTACTGATGTCAATATGACCTCCTCTTGCAGATAGTATAGAAGCCAATGTTGAAAGTGCTGAAGTTCATGTAGAAAGAGGGACTGAACAGTTACAGAGAGCAGCATATTACCAGGTAAGTACATGTTTGATCTGGACTTAACTGTGTACACACACACACACAGGGCTATAGATATATATATTTTTTTTTTTTCTGGAGGGCAGCTGAGCTGCATTTTTCACTGCCTCCACAACTCCACCACCACTAACTTCTCTCCCCTGAAGGAAGGGGTGGGTGGGTGGATGGAAGGGTGGGGTGGGCGAAAGGAAGAAAGCGGAGGGTGAGTGGAAGGGTGGGGCGGGTGGGTGTAAGGAAGGAAGGAATCGGTGGGTGGAAGGAAGGAAGGTTGGACTCGCGTGGACTCATTCAGATGCATCAGAGCTAGGGCTGCTGTGTTCAATTTCTCACCCACACATCCTCTGAAGCTGCATGGACTGGAGTGTGGGCGAGCACAGGGGGAGGCAGAGCAGATCCAGCCTCTCTCCCCTCTTCCTGTTGCGGGGGATGGAGGGAGGGGCTGGGCACTGGGAAGAACACCGTGGCAGTGGGGGGGGGAGGAAACCGAACCATCAGGTATGTTCTGTGCTGCGGTGAGGGTGTTGACGAGCAGCGATCTCCTGTATGGCTGTCATTGAAGCAGCTGGAAGCCGCATCTCCTCCTCTCCCTCCTGCGGCTTCCAGCTGCTTCATTGAAAGCTATACAGCAGATCGCTGCTTGTCACTGCCTCCAACTTCACCCCTTCTACATATCCGTAGTCCCGGCACTGCTCACTGCCCCCACCTTATTTCCATTCGCGGGCGAGTGGAAACTTCGAGGTTTGCAGGGATGGTTGGCAACTGTCCTCTGGGGAAAGGGGGGTGTCAGACCCCCCTGACTCCTCCCTTTTCTACGCCCCTGTGTTTACATCTTAAAGTTAACCTGCTATGACTTCAATATTAGCTGACGCAACTGTATGATGGCAGGCAGTATAACTCCTCCTCCCATGTGTCATTTGAGCTCCCAAACAATGGTTACAAATCGTAAAATAGCATACAAATCTCGACTTCTCTGAGTCAGAGCTGTGCCTCTCAGTGGCTGAAGCACATGTATTGCATTTTAATATGTAAGGGGCATGTCCAAGCACTGACATGACTTAAGATGACATATTCTGACTTTGGAATGTGTGGGAAAGTAGTCTGGACAAGCAAAAAAGACTTAAGAACAGCCAAACAAATGCTGTACGGTGCATTGTGGCAGGATGGACATAGTATTAACATCGGCTAGAGAGAATAGGAATATATTTTCAAAATGGTCAGTTAAAAAATATAAATAAAAGGTACACAAGTAACCGCACACTAAAATGGAAATTAGAGAAAACAAAATAGGTACTTGTAACTGTGTAGTAACGATTTTTAAGAATAGAGAAGAAAAATGTAATACATTGGAAATAGATACTATAAGTCTCTGTCCTGTAAGAATTTGAAATATGGAAAGAATGCCTCTTTATCCAGCATTCAAGCAAACATAACTTTATGTTCATGGCTTTTTTCCTGCTTCAATCAGGGACTGTCTGGTACAGCTATTCCTCTAAAGAATGATGTATTATGCGTGCCATATTCAGTTTTGATTGCAACAAAAAAAGGAATTTTCTGAGAAATGTTTTTATTTGGGTCAATACACTACACCTGCTTTGTGCTCCCTTTTTGAAACTATAATATATTTTGTCCATATTTGGTTTTCAAATGCACATTAGGCAGCAATATGTTGTGCAGTATAGATTGTGAGCAACCAATGTTCTCCTCTTTGCAGGCTACAATAGATATTTAAAGGGTCGATATAACCAAAAGTGACATTTTACTTATAGGTGAAATCAATCAAGTCAGCCCCTTTATGGTTTACATGTATTGAATATTGAAACGGTGAGAGCCACCGCCATAACTACTTTGCTTTTTGGGAGCATCTGTCTATTTTTGTATGTTCAGCACCTCCGACTGCTTTAATATAAAATAAATATCCAGTGAGTGAAGTAGGAGACCCTCCTATTGGCCAGAGCAGATGTACAGAGCCATAAACTAAGGTCATAAATCTGTCCATTGGCATCCTTGAGAAAGCTATTGGCTAATAGGCTCAATTCCCAAGGTTTACACAAGAGAGAATCTATCATTTCCAACATGTGGCTGTCACTTTTTTGAAAATTAAAATTTTTTATCGGGATGTTGGCTACGTGTATTGAACATATTGTCTGTTGGCTTGTCTCTCCCAACGTCTACTAGAAAGAGAAATATCACCAAGATTGTAAAGATTTTGTGTCAATGGTTGAGCTTCAATAAATCAATCCACTTGCTAACTTGCATTTTCAGGGCTTTTCTGTCCACTTTTACAGAAAAGAATGTTTTTTTTACAGAACACAGGATTCGTTTACATCAGGTTTTCAATACAAGGGTTCAACATCATGGGAGATAGAAAGGAAAGAGTAGCCTCCTGGCTATTTTGATCTACGTAGACCCACAGTCTGTTTCTGCAATAACTCTCATGCGACAGCCTGGCTTTTAAGGCCAGACAGGCCAGACCTACATGGCCAGACAGACACAGATAATGTTTGTACAAACGCTGCTCCTAGTGGTTGGCTGTACAGTTGCATCAAAACACCTGCAGACAGCTGTGGCTGCTGTCAACCTATCAGTTCTTTGTACAAGTTCAGCAGCTGCAGGAATCAGCTGGACTTGTGCTGTAACATTAACATTTTTGCCAGGAGAGTGTGACAGTGTATGCATAGAGACCCTTTAGGCCTCAAAGACAGAACAAACACATAAGAGAACCTCTTGACAAGGGCTAAAGTAATTTAAGGTACACTTTAGTCATAATTTTAAATTTAAATCTGAAAGTGGACACAGATAAAAAAAAATCCTTCCGTCTCAGTACTTCAGTTTTTGTTAATGTCCTCTTACTCCCTTTTCTTGGTGATCTAGGAACCCTTTTTTATTTGCCTGTTTGAATGTTGAAGTATTTCCAAACACTTCCATTGTACATTTTCTGCTGTCTCCCACATACTGAAAGACCAATATGTTGGTAGGTCAATAAAAGATGTTTCTTCTATCCAAATTGGATTCAAACCTACCTTGGACGTCTTGAATCTGATGATAATACATCAAGAGTAAGAGGCAGTTGCACAGACACACCCATCACATACATGGGTTTCTATGTGAAATGTTGCTGCAGAGGTTGACCTAGAACTCCATGTTATTCCGGCCATAGACGGTTCGAAAATCAGCCGATTTTCACACTGTTAGTGGGTTAATTGGTCGGCCGTTTTTTGGGTTTTTTGCATTTTGAGATTATCGGTCATGTTGGAAAATCTGCAGACGATCGGCCGATTTTTCCGGCAATGATGGCCAAATCGGCCGCTCGTTTTAACAATAAAAAATCTGCGCATGAGCCGTGACCTGCAAGGGACAGAAGTTGTGGGGTGAACTTTATGATTTAGTCGGCCAATTTTTGTAATCGGTGGTAACATCGGCCGAACAACCGATTTTTCGTTTATTGTTCGAAAAATTGGCCGATGTTCGACCCGTCTATGGCCAGCATTAAGGTATAGTGAGTGGACTCAAGTGGAGTTTAACATAGTTGCAGCATTTTCTTGTTTGTGTTCTCCATTCACTGATGATTTCACTTATTGCCTAGAATTGCTTTTTAACTGTATTTTTTTTTTTTTTTTTCTTACCCCTCAGAAAAAGTCCCGGAAGAAGATTTGTATCTTGGTACTTGTCCTTGCCATTGTAGCTATAATTCTGGGCTTTATTATATGGCTGTCTGTAAGATCCTGATCCATGCACTTCAGCCTATACTGGAGGATCCAGATCTCCTAAACATGACTCCAACCTTTCTGTATATATTGAGATTCTGCTGTGCAAAAAAAAACTCCAACCATAAATGTGAAAGACAGTATTCTGAAAGCACACAGAAAGGGAATACAAGCAAGAGCCTGCATAGAAAACTACAGTAGCTGCACAGACTGCGAACGTATAATAGCTAGCCCGAAAAAGAAAACCAACATATTTACTATGCAGTTGACCTTATAGTCGGCCCAATAGTACCTTTTTAGCGATTTGTTGTATGAGACACTACACTGGTCACTGCCATTCAGCTGCTGGGATCCTGGGTGCTGTAGTGCAGACCCTAATACATTTTGGCTTTTTTAATAACCCTGTGCAAACAGTGGTGAGGAACGACAGCCAATCATTCTGCTAAAAGCTTATTTTTGATTGGTTACTATAAATGACTGCTTTTTTTGCACTAAGTTCTTAAATAAAGCCCACTGTAGATAACGACTTGCCTATTTACTAAAATTAACCTGTGAAATATTACTATAGTTTGTGCTTTCCTGCACAGAAGGCCTTATTGATAAAAGTAAAGTAGGAATTTGTTTTTTCTGCCCATAACAACCAAGATTAGAAACAACTCAGAAGAAATGCACTGCAAGTGCGAATGGGGCTTTCTGGTTGCAACAAGAAGTACTTTTTTCTTCAGACGCTTTGTTCAATGGGACATACTGTGTATTTAGAGAAGACATTACTTCATTTTTACATGCATTTCTGTGTTTAAAATCAGTGTGTTAGCAGTTAGAAAAATCTTAATATTTTATATCACTGGGACAAAGTAATAAATTGTTCTTATGGCTTGTGTTATGTGTATACACACTAATCTGTGATAACCTGTATATATATTTTCTCTCATCTTTCTTTATACTTTTTGAAGTTGAATCATCTTGGAACAACCCAAGTGAAAAAAACTAATATATGTATAGAAGTAAAAATTTGCAAAAGTGAAATAAAAGACAAAGTACTGTTCTCAAGTTGTATTCATTCAGTTATATTTATTGTTTAACCAATCCACCCAAAAAAAAAAAAAACTTCAGCTCAGTACACAGGGGATACATACAGTGGATATAAAAAGTCTGCACACCCCTGTTAAAATGTTAGGTTTCTGTGATGTAAAAAATTAGACAAAGATGAATGTTTTCCACCTTTTTAATGTGACCTATAAACTGTACAACTCAGTTGAACAACAAACTGAAATCTTTTAGGTGGAGGGAAATAAAAAAACTAAAATAATATGGTTACATAAGTGTGCACACCCTTAAACTAATACTTTTGTTGAAGCACCTTTTGATTTGATTCCAGCACTCAGTCTTTTTGGGTTTGAGTCTATCAGCATGGCACATCTTGACTTGGCAATATTTGCCCACTCTTCCTTGCAAAAACCCTCCAAATCTGTCAGATTGTGAGGACATCTCCTGTGCACAGTACTCTTCAGGTCACCCCGCATTCCAAAACTTTAATCTTCTGGTGAAGCCATTCCTTTGTTGATTTGGATGTATGCTTTGAGTTGTTGTCATGCTGAAAGATGAAGTTCTTCTTCAGCTTTCTAGCAGAAGCCTGAAGGTTTTGTGCTAATACTGACTGGTATTTGGAACTGTTCATAATTCCCTCTACCTTGACTAAGGCCCCAGTTCCAGCTGAAGAAAACCAGCCCCAAAGCATGATGCTGCCACCACCATGCTTCACTGTGGATATGGTGTTCTTTTGGTGATGTGCAGTGTTGTTTTTGCACCAAATATATCTTTTGGAATTATGGCCAAAAAGTTCAAACTTGGTTTCATCAGATCATAACACATTTTCCCACATTCTTTTGAGAGATTTCAGATGTGTTTTTGCAAAATTTAGCCGGTCTTGGATGTTTTTATTCATAAGAAAGGGCTTCCATGTTGCCACTCTACCCCATAGCCCAGACACATGAAGAATACGGGAGATTGTGGTCACATGTACCACACTGCCAGTACTTGCCAGATATTCCTGCAGCTCCTTTGTTGCTGGAGGCCTCTTGGCAGCCTCCAGGACCAGTTTTCTTCTCTTTTCATCAATTCTGGAGGGACGTTTAGTTCTTGGTAATGTCACAGTTGTGCCATATTTTCATCACTTGTTGACTGTCTTCCATGGTATATCTAATGCCTTGGAAATTCTTTTGTACCCTTCTCCTGACTGATACCTTTTAACAATGAGATATCTCTGATGCTTTGGAAGTTCTCTGCGGACCATGGCTTTTGCTGTAGGATGCGACTAAGAAAATGTCAGGAGAGACCTACTACAACAGCTGAACGTTTATTTGGGGTTAATCAGAGGCACTTTAAATGATGGCAGGTGTGTACTGACTCCTATTTAACATGATTTTGAATGTGATTGCTTAATTCTGAAGACCGCTACATCCTCCGTTTTTTTATAAGATTTTCACAATCATTTGTGGCAACAGAATGACAGATGTTTCGTTATGAAGGCCAAAGATGATTCATTTATCGGCCAAAAAAGTGTACAAAATCTACAGTAGATTAAAATAAAAAAAAATGTTAACTGTTCCAAGCTGTGTAGAAATTCACACTTTCTGTGTGGCAAAAGGTTCTCCAAGTGAAAAGACCTCCAATGTCTACCATAGGACAAACCCTCTCCTCCAATATTTGCTCCTTCCTACAAAGGTCAAACAAGCATGTTGTCAGGAACCATAGAACACTTGGACAACAATAGGAAATGGCCATCTTTTCTGATCGTGTGTGTGTGTGTTATATATACTGCTCAGATTAACGGAACACTTTGAAAACATGTCAAATCTCAATGGGGAAAAATATGCTGGATATCTATACTGATATAGACTGGGTAATGTGTTAGGAACGTACGGATGCCCCATCGTTTGATGCAAATGAAAATTAGCAACCTACAGAAGACTGAATTCAAAGACACCCCAAAAATCAAAGTGAAAAAAAATTATGCAGCAGGCTAGTCCATGTTGCTGGAATTTAATTGCAGCAACTCAAAATGGTACTCAGTATGGCCCCCATGTGCTTGTATGCATGCCTGACAATGTCGGGGCATGCTCCTAATGAGATGACAGATGGTGTCCTGAGGTATTTCCTCCCAGATCTGGACCAGGGCATCACTGAGCTCCTGGACAGTCTGAGGTGCAAACTGGCGGTGTTGGATGGACTGAAACTATTGGATTTAGGTCAAGTGAGTGTGGGGGCCATTCGATGGTATAAATTCCTTCATCTTCCAGGAACTGCCTGAATACACTCGCCAGATGAGGCCGGGCATTGTCATGCACTGGGAGAAACCCAAGACCAGTGTATGGTCTAACAATGGGTCCAAGGATTTCATCCCGATACCTAAATGGCAGTTAGGGTGCCATTGTCTAGCCTGTAGAGGTCTGTGCGTCCCTACGTTGATATGCCTCCACCATCACTGACCCACCACCAAAATGGTCATGCTGAACAATGTTACAGTCAGCATAATGTTCTCCAGACCCTTTCACATCGGTCACATGTGCTCAGGGTGAACCTGCTCTCTGTGAAAAGCACAGGACACCAATGGCACACATGCCAATTCTGGTGTTCAATGGCAAATGCCAATCGAGCGCTTTGGTGACGGGCAGTGAGCACAGGGCCCCCTACAGGATATCGGGCCCTCATGAAGTCTGTTTCTGATTGGTCAGGGACCTTCACACCAGTGCCCTGCTGGAGGTCATTTTATAGGGCTGTGGCAGTGCTCATCCTGTTCCTTCTTGCACAAAGTAGCAGATACCGGTCCTGCTGATGGGTTAAGGACCTTCTACGGCCCTGTCCAGCTCTCCTAGAGTAACTGCCGGTCTCCTGGAATCTCATCCATGCTCTTGACTGTGCTGGGAGACAAAGCAAACCTTCTGGCAATGGCACGTACTGATGTGCCATCATGGAGGAGTTAGACTGCCTGTGCAACCTCTGTAGGGTCCAGGTTTCGCCTCATGCTACCAGTAGTGACACTGACCCTAGCCAAATGCAAAACTAGTGAAAAACAGTCAGAAAAGGTGAGTATGAAAAAAATGTCAGTGGCCTCCACCTGTAAAAGCATTCCTGTTTTGGGGGGTCATCTCATTGTTGCCCATCTAGTGCACCTGTTCTTAATTTCATTAACACCAAAACAGTTGAAACTGATTAACAACCCCCTCTTCTGCTAAACTGATCAGATCAATATCCCAGGAGTTTAATTGAGGAGTTATTTTTTTTTTGAGCAGTGTATTATACAATATACACACCATCCAGAGATATGACTTTCAAGCTCAGAGAAAAAAGGCAAATCGTAGTGCTCACCATTATACAATAAGACCATTATAAACACACTTACAGTGCTTCTCAATAGCATAAGACCAGTGTATAGAACAGTGCTATCTGGGAGGAGTAAACCCAATACCACATTAGTAGATTAGAGATGCCTCCATCCCATGTCGAATCCAGGATCACTGTGGCTCCACCCAATGCATTTCATTATTTATTTCACCATCAGGAGCAAGGCTAGTGCTCCCCTGACTTCTGGAGCTCCGATGCCATAAGCAAAGCCTGTTTCCTGTCAAGCCACATGTGTCTAGCCTTTCCTCCAAGAACTCCATGACATATTGCAGGCTCCACACTATGGTTTGCGTTTTATGAATGGACTACAAACTGTAGGCATTACAGTGTGAATTTAACATAACCATTTAAAACAAAGAGCAGCCTCTTATAAAGGAGCCTCTTGTGTATAAATATGTCTGTCCTTAGGATAAATGGTATGAAGCTTGTGCAAAAATGTAGTATCCTACCTCCACCCTCACCCAAAGTAAAAAAGTCAATCATGCATTCTTTGTAATCAGCCTAATGTTTACATTATTGCTATTAACATTGCCATCTTCCAAGGCAGTTAACTGCTTTTGCAAAGGTTAGGTGAAGAAGTTGACAGAGCAAAATGTCTTAATTGAAAATACAACAGTA